CCAAGCTCCAAACCACTTGGGAAGCAGTTTGCGTGAAACATCCTGTTCCAGTGCAAACTCTTCCGCGGAGACCCAAACCAGATCACTGGCGTGAATGGGACATGGTACGCGACGCCTGTTGGCTTGCTGCTGCATGCGAACTTGAGCCTTTTGCATATTTGCACAGGCTTGAGTCAGCAATTCCCTGTACTTCCGGACGGAAGCGGGAGAGCAGGCAGCGTCAATGTCGGCTGGTCGAGGGAGGAGAAGGTCGAGGAAGATACGGCCTTTCCGTCCACCGTGGTGCAACTCGAATGGAGTCACGCCGATCGTCGGGTGCACCGAAGTGTTGTAGGCGAACTCGATGTCGGGGAGGCGGTCAACCCAATCTTTCTGGTCCGGACGGATGAGCGTACGAAGCATCATTTGAGCGGTTTGATGTGCCCGCTCCGTCTGCCCGTCTGTCTGAGGATGCCGAGCCGAACTTGGTTTCATTGTTGTGCCGGACTCCTGCATGAGAGCAGTACAAAACGCCGACATGAAACGAGTGTCGCGGTCGCTGACAATGTCTTCWGGTACACCGTGGCCACAAATCCAACCAGTGTGCAGGAGGCGTGCCAGCTCGGGAGCCGTGGAGTAGTACTTGCAAGGGAGAAAACGCGCGTACTTACTCAATCGGTCCABAACCGTGAGGATGCCGTCGTGCCCGAGCCGGTCGCGAGGAAACGGACCGGTGACGTCCATGGCAATGGAGAGACCGGGTTCCCGTGGGATAGGCATTGGGTGTAACTCGCCATAGGGATTGCGGTTGCGGGGTTTGCTGCGTCGGCAAACTTCGCACGAGTCGCAATACCGAGTGACATCGGTAATGAGGTCGGGCCATCGGAATCGCTGTCGAAGCCGTGCAATAGTGCGGTTGACTCCGAAATGGCCGGCGAGTCGTGAATCATGATACTCGATGAGGAGGCGAGTCCGAAGACGACGGTCGCATGGGACACACAATAAGTCCTTGCCTCTTGAGTGGAGGAGCAAGTATTCGTCGGCAATGCGATAGTGGCTGGCCGGCGGGTGATCCGAAGGTTGTGCGTACAGCGTGGCGAAGTCCGGATCAGACTCATATGCCCGGATGAAGTGTCGCTGAAACTCCTCGTCGAATGCGAAGGCATGATGTGTCATAGCGCAAAGATCTGGTCTTCGCGAGAGTGCATCTCCTGCGCGATTTGAGAGGCCGAGTAGATGTTTCGGTGTGAAGTCAAACTGGTCGATGAAGTACATCCATCGTCCAATCGTGCTGCTCACCGTATCCTGCGTCTTGTAGTAGGTCAATGGATTGTTGTCTGTGACCCATGTGAACCTACGACGCCCAAGAAGGAAGTGCCGCCATCGCTTGAGAGCCATGACGAACGCGAGGAGCTCCTTCTTCCTTGCATCATCAAGTGAGTTGATGGGAGGCACTTTGTGGCTGAAATACTCCACAGGGTGCCAGTCGTCGCCGTCGTGCTGTTCCAAGACTGCCCCAATGCCATAGCCGGAAGCGTCCGTAGTCACTCTCTTCGGCAAGGTGGGGTCATAGATGCTGAAGACGGGTGCCATAAGCATGGTCGTCTTAAGTGCTTGGAACGACCGGCGTGCGTCGTCATCGAATACGAATGGCACCTTTGGCGACTGTAACTTCGTCATAGGTGCAACAATCCTTGAGTATCCGGTGATGAATCGCTGATAGTAGCCCGCCGATCCCATGAATGACCGAACGTCCGTGGTGTTGGTGGGCTCAGGCCATACTCGTAGGGCCTCGATCTTGTCCGCAAGCAGACGGATGCCTTGCGGAGTCACAAAATGTCCCAAGTACTCCAGCTCCTGCCGTGCGAACTCGCACTTGTCGCGGTTTGCTTTGTACTTGGCCTGTCGTAGCCGCTCCAAAACGGTGCGCAGGTGTTCCACATGCTTCTCCAAACTCCGGCTGTACACCAGGATGTCGTCGAGATAGATAAGTACGTATCGATCCAGCATGTGTCGGAACTCCGTTGTCATAGCCGCTTGGAAAGTGGCCAGGGCATTCGTAAGGCCAAATGGCATGACCAGCCATTCGAAATGCCCATATCGCGTCTTAAACGCGGTCTTGTAACGGTCCTGCTTGCGAATCTCGAGTTGGTGATATCTCGACTTGAGGTCCAGCTTGGAGAAAAACTTGGCGCCGCCCAGTCGCTCAAGAAGGTCGTCGATGCGTGGGAGAGGGTCGGCGTTCCTGATTGTCTGCGCGTTGAGCTTGTGATAATCAATGCACAACCGCAGGTCCTTGTTCTTCTTCCGGACGAAGAGAACAGGAGCACCGTATGGCGATGAGCTAGGCCGAATCCAGCCTTTCTCCAGAAGGTCGTCAAGTTGTGCCCGAAGCACACTTAACTCTTCCTCGCCCATTTGGTAGATGCAACCGCGCGGAGGTACGGCCCCGTCCTCGAGGATGATCTCGTGGCGGATGGGTCGATCCGGTACTACTCCGTGCGGGCCTTCGAACACGTCGCTGTAGGCGTCGAGAAGTTCGATGAAGCAGTGAGTCCGTCGATGAAGCGTCATGGGGCGGGAGGGCGTGGAGAAAACACACCCCCATTTCCTCGATGTCGTCTCTGATGATGGAAGCTCGCATGCTTGTGGCGGATACCACGTGGCAGCTGATCGAAGGATGAGGAAGAGGCACCGTGCATGGAACTAATACTCCGTTCCGGTCACGAACGTGAACGGTGCGGTTGCAGAAGTTCACCGGGTGATCTTTGCTTCGCAGCCATGACATGCCCAAGATCATGTCGAATTTGGTGTCCAGAATGTCAAAGGACACCGCCTCACTTGCGTGAGCGGCAAAGTACACTGGGACGCTGTCAATGCACCGGTTGATTGACTTGTGCGTGTGACCGTCCGCCAATGTGACTTGCGTAGGTTGGGGCTTCCTCCGGACGCGTGGGCCAAGGCCGGCGCGCACCATGAAGTCCTGGCTGATGTAGTTGCGAGCTGCTCCACAATCGATCAACGCGCTGCATGTCACTTCTCCGATCTGAATGCGTACATATAGCAATGGTGCGTCGATGTCATCGTACAGTTGCGTCTTGAACTCGTGGTCGATCTTCGCAATGTAGACGTGAAGGTCGACAACCTCTACTCCGGCGTCCATCAACGGAGTCGGTACTGCAGTGTGCAAGTAATCTCGCAGTTGTGCCATGAGCACATTGCAATGTGGTTTCGGCAATCGTCCGGTCGGGGGAACGGGCATCCACTAAGTCCGTGAACGTCAATGGGTCGAGCATCTCAAGTCTTGACCACGACGATGAATCCCCGGCGATAGATGGCGGCGAAGCTGCCGAATCGGTTGCCGATGGTGATCAAACCGTGCATGCGGTAGATTGTTGCACGTGGAGCGGTTGGTCCAGCGGTGGAAACAAGTGGACAGCATAGTCCTCGTAAGTGTAACGAGAACTTGCGACATTCGCGTTCTCCCCAGATGTGCAGGAGGCCGCTAGCAAGGCGGCCGAATCTGGCRGAGTAGAAGGTGGAGTCGCCTCACCTTCCGCGGAGCTCAGTTTCCCGAGCTGAGGCGGGGTCGCACATCCTACTTGCCCTGATCTTGGCACAGGGAGGTCTTGTGCTTGGTGTTGTTGCACCAATAGCAGTTGCCGTAGCGGTCGCGGACCTTGTACTCCGCCTCGGTCAAGCCGAACTTGACCCATGGAACTTGTACTGGTTGTCCATTTCCGGCCTGCGATGCGGATTTCGCCTTCCCATTGTTGCGGGACTTGTTGTTGCGTCGCGGCTGGACAGCAGCCACCTGATCTCCGTCACTTGATGCTGGAGTGGCTGCTGGGTTATCTCCATTGTCCGACTGGACTGCAGCGAAGTGCTGCTGTCGCGGACCAGTTCGTACCTTCTCCACATAGGTCGGCTGCCATGTTGATTTCTCGTGTGCAGCTGACCTATTGGTCTTGATGATCTCTCTCGCCTTGTCGATAATCTCGGCGAAAGTGGAGTACTGCTCGCGATCACCAAGAGCCTGGCTCAATGCCGCACAGGACCTGTTGTAGAACTCGCGGCGTATATGCGTGAATGTCAATTCTAGATTGGGCACCGCCGCGATCTTCTGCCACTTCGTGAGCCAATCCCGTATTGCAGTGTTGCCCTGTGACATGGTGAACAAACGGTTGATGGCGAGTGTCGGCGCGTTGTCGACGATGAACCGCTTCTTCCACAGTCGTGTCAGTTCCTCCCATGTGATCTTGTCCTTCAAGTCTGGTACGTCGACGCCGTGGGAGGTTGCCAGGTGGCTCAACCAGGTCTGGCATCCGCCCTTTGAGTTCAGGAACAGGGCGCCGATGTACGCATGCTTGGCTACGGGCAGAATCCTGAGTTGCGTTGTGAATGCTTCCCACCAGAGGACGGGATCCTGTTGCGTGTAGTCGTCGAACTTGTCCAGTTGGAAMGTTGGCATCTTGTACATCTTCGGATTGTCATCCGCGTTCGTCGACTGCAGCTATTGGACCTCGGTCTTCAAGGTATGCAGCTGACTGCTGATGGTGGTCGGCGCAGCGAAGGTGCTGATGTCGCCGAGCATTTTCGCTACGTGGTCAACGCGTTCCTCCAGTTGGCCGCTAGAGGATGCACTACTGGAAGCCCCAGCAGCTGGTCCTGGTATAGCCTGTTCCAGGTCCAGCAATCGGGCATCGAGTGCCCGAGTTGCATCCTCGTGGCTCTGCACTGTATGGCGGAGCTTTGCCAACTCCTGATGTTGTTGCGTCAGGTTCTGGTACTGTTTCTCCAACTCGGACCGTTGGTAGTTGCAAGCATACAACAACCGTGTCACGAGTTTGGAGAGAAACTCCTTATGTTGCTCTTCCGGTGTTCCGTCATCGCCGTTTGGTTCAAAGTGCCAAAACTTGAGTTTTTCGATGCTTGTGGCTTCATGCCGCTGCAACAGATCCTGGGCTTCTTTGCGGCGAGCCTGGGCATCTGTGTCTGCTTCGGCCTGTAGTCGCAGCTTCTCTGCTGTTGCCGCTTCTTCAGCCTGTAGTTGGGCAGCCTTGACTACCAGCTGGCGTTGTTCCTCAGCCTCGATTGCAACGAGCTGAGCCTGGAAGCACTTTTTGTAGTCGGCAATGGGCTCATTGGCCAGTTGGCCTGGCAGGCCCGTCATGTTGCTGACGTGGCACTGTGTCTGACATGGCACTGTCTGACATGGCACTGCTGACGTGGCACTGCTTACGTGGCACTGTGTCTGACGTGGCACTGCTTACGTGGCACTGTGTTTGACGTGGCACTGCTGATGTGGCACTGCTTATGTGGCATTGTGTCTGACGTGGCACTGCTGATGTCGCACTGCTTACGTGGCATTGTGTCTGATGTGGCACTGCTTACGTGGCACTGTGTCTGACGTGGCACTGTACCAACCCGGAATGCATGCAAAGGGGTGGGTGGGAAAGAAAACGTAGGTAGGCAAACAACCCAACAATACTTTCCTCCGGCCCTAATCAATTGATAAAAATAAAATAAAAAATAAAAGAGGACTACTTCCTTTTTTTTTTTTTTGTATATCTGTCGATCTATTATGAGTAGGACATGTCAGAAGAGTACTATGAACGAGATCTAGGCTAGGTTCCGCAAAGTTTCAGCTTTTACAAACTGCGATCTTGAAAAAAAATTTGCAAAATGGAGTACAGATGCGATTTTCAGAAAAGAACGAAATCCAGTTTCTGAGAATATGGCAACCTCCGAATACGCCTAACACAATATTGGTAGGCTTCGCAAGATTTCGGTTTTCAAAAAAAATTTGCGAGATAAAATGGAAATTCGATTTTCAGAAAAGAATAATTCCAGTTTCAGAGAATATGCCCACTTCTATCGTTATCCCAATATGCCTAGAAAACGAAATACTAACTTCAAAAATTTCGGCTATGTATGCGAAATATCAGAGAAACGAAAAGCTACTATCGGGAATTTTCAGACAAAACGAAATGCGACTTATCAGAAATTTTCAGATTTGTTACGTAAAAACGAACTACTAATATCAGAATTTTTCAGGTAAAACGAAATGCGAATATCAGAAATTTTCGGATAGTTGTTGCGAGAAAAAAAAAAATTCAGAGATTTGACTAAGTCCTACTTGCATTACTAATGAGTGATCACTAGATCAGCAAGCTGGCTACTTGATTGAGCGGGTCCTCTGAATGAGAGGTCCGCTCCGATACCAAACTATTGCATACTGTAACGTGCAGACCAGAACAAGAACCGACCTCTCAATACAAAGTACAAGATAACACAGCGGAAGACTTAGATACGAATGATCCGAACAATCCATATTGCAATGCAGTCCTGAACACACATCATCATCATCGTTATCTGGTGTGAAGGGGGTCTGGCGCTGCACACAAGAAGACTGCGCCAGCCCCAACCATACACAGACGAAGAAGGAGGGGTTAGACGAAAGAGGAGGGAAGATGGGAATGTCGTCAACACCAAGTCTCGGTACAGGCCCAAATAGTCCCTCGTCGAAATGTCTGAATCCCAATGTCCAGTCTGGATCCAATGTCGTCAAGTCTCAAGTCACAACTCTTTCTCTATCTGTCGTAGTCTAAGAAGTCAGGTGGCGAGAGGGTGAGAAGAGATGGTGGACTTAGAAGAGGAAGAAGAAGAACTCTCTCTCTCTGTGTGTCCAGTACTAACCTGTGAAGTTGGCGCCTTGATGCAGGTTCCATGAAGATGGAGCTGGAGCGATGGTGCCACAGGTAAGTACCACTGGCCTCCGCCAGTGTCTCTCCCAAATCTACAATCTACTACCTACAAGCGCCCAGCGCTGAAGACTACTCTAGCTATGGGCGCCCAGCGCCGAAGACTACAGCTAGCGTTAATACTACTACCTAGCGCTGAAGACTACTGCAGCGCTCCTCCTGAGTGCTGCGGCCGAATCCTGAAGACTACTCGTGCCTACTGACAACTACCTACCCGTGAAGTTCATGGGAACTTCCTATGTACTACCGGGTGTGCCTCCTGAGCCGTGCGAGCAGTTCAGGAGGCTGCTCTTGCCAATGCCGAAAGGAGGCAGGGGCTGCAGCTGCAGCTCCTGCTCGAGYTCGTGAGGAACAGGCKATTTCTGGCCTGTTCCGCATCSCTGTTTACGTGCCTGAGTCTTRGGGGCAGGTCGAAACAATGAGGGCCTGAAAATGGCCCTCCGTTTCAGGCTGGAAAAACTCTGGGTCTGAAAGACCCAGAAATAGGCTGAAACGGAGTAGGTCCTGCAATCCCTCGTTTTTCAGCTTTCAGGCTGAAACGACCGGGGCCTGTAAGCCCTAAGTTTTAGGCTTTTAGGCTGAATGTCCGGGACGGGCCCTGCGGGGCCCGTGTGGCTATGCAGTATGCCACAGCCGCGGAGCTCAACCACAGAGTGACGAAGGAGGTGAAAGAGAGGACAGAGGGAGAGACCGAGGAGAGAAGTGAAGCGGAGGAAGAAGAAGGGAGAGACAAGAACAAATAAAAAGAAGGAAAAGAGAAGACAGACATGGTGAAGAAGAAAGAGGCGAGGCAGAAAAACGGAAGGAGAAGGGTGGCGACGACGAGGAAGTCGGCCACCATAGCCGAACCGGAGTTGATCGGAGTTGCCCGGGAGTTGCCCGGGAGTTGCCCGGGAGGTGACCAGGCGTTGACCGGAGTTGACCGGGAGTTGACCGAGAGTTGACCGGGAGTTGACCAAGAGTTGACCGGGAGTTGACCGAGGGTTGACTGCAGCGTTGACCAAGGCATTGACCAAGACTGTTGACCACAAATTTGACCAAGCTGGAGCCGGTATAATCTCGCCAAGCCTTCAGCCTATCCCCTCGCCCTATGGATGTGCACACACCTTGTGGTACTTGCTGAGTCAAATCTGTCTGTCTCTTCTTTCTGCATTGAGTCTCTTCTGTCCAAGTGATAGGACTCTGTGGATGAAGGATAGGGCCTTGTTGACCAAACCCACACGGGCTGAGTAGGGCTACACTGTGTCTGACGACTCGACTGTTCCCGGAGGACACGAACCCTCCCAAGGACCGGTACTTACCTGCGGGCTGCTCGGTGTGCCACGGTAGGCCCAAAATCCGAAATGTGGGCTGCACAACAGGTCGTCTAAGTCTTGAGAGGACCTGCGGATTGCGTTGTCCTGTCTGCGACGTTAAAGAATTCCTGAGGAGTTACGGGGGATCTCCTTAAATGCCTCCTGATCGGCAACGGGTCATGTAGTGACAGCCATAGTTTAGGTCCAGGCTAGTGACCCTAGTAGACAGGATCCTGTCCGGATTCTGTAACCTTAGATCGAGTCAGTAGGTCTTGTCAGTCAAGGGGTAGATTCTAAGTGGTGAGGAGTGGAACTGTTGCCCGGTTGTGCATTTGACACCATGGTTGACACACGTGGTGGGAGTACTACCCCTTACACACAGGCTCAGGAGGAGCAATTCGCCGCCATCCGGAGAGAGAGAAGGGAGAAGGAGAAGAAGGAGCTCCTCAAACAGGCAAAGCTAAAGGCGATAGCGGAGGAGCAAGCGGCGAAGAAGGAAAAGTTGGAGGAGGAGATGTTAAGATTACAGCAGGAGGAGGAAGAGAAAAGAAGGGTTGCCGAAGAAGAAGCACCAGCAGAGGAGGAGGAAGTAGAAGAAGACCCCCTCGAAAGGAGGCGTGGGGGAGAGAGGAGAAACTAGCGGCATGAAGGCAGAGGATAAGTGGATGGAAAAGAAGATCAGTGAGTGAGTAGCTAATTTATCATTGGGAGAAGACGAAGAGGCAATGTTGTACGTGCCTCAGGAGGAGAAAGAAGCATTCGCCAGGGAGTTGGAAGCTAAGGAGGACCCCCTGGAACGCCAGACGATGGAAGACGAGAAGAAATTGGAGTGGACGTTGCGTCTGGCAAGGGATAAGAAGAGGAGGAGGGAGGAGGCCAACCGGATGGCCAAAGAAGTGGAGAAGATTCAGGCATGTAGGCAGGAAGTGCAAGCACAACAGGAAACCCCTGCCAAATTAGATAAGATTTTGGGCTATCTTGAGATTATGAGTAAGGCCTGGCTTGAGGAACATCAGGCCAATAAGGGTCAGGAAGTGACCCTCCACTCCATCCGGACCGGCTTTAGAGAGTTTGCGCGCGACGTGGTAACCCACGTCGAGACCGAAGTTAAAAGGTTGAAGGAAGGCGCAGAGAAGTTCTGTGTTGGCGCCATTGAAGGCGCCAAGGTAGTGGCCGCAGCAGAAGTCGAAACGCGACCCCGCAAAGAGCCTGTTAAGCTCAAATTTCCTGACTTTTATAGCGGGAAAAAGGACGATAATTTTGATAACTGGGAGGCCAGCATTAACACATATGTCTATTTACAGCATATCGTGCCCGAGGAACAAGTCCTCGTGGCCTTCCATGCACTAAAGGACGAAGCGGCCAGCTTTGCCAGGTCCCTTGCGTGCGCAGCCGATTGTGAGCACAATATGGTTGCATATTATAGGCCCACCCCTCTTTCTACGTTCCTTAAACTCCTGCGAGAGAGGCTTGATGACGTCACAAGGGGCGTCAGGGCCTCTGACAAGCTTCAGACCATCCACTCACGACAGTGGAGGAGTGCGCGAGCACTCAAAGCTGTCATGGACGACTTGGTAATCGTCCCAGACCACGGGGTCCAGTTGGTCCAGTTATTTTATCGTGCCATGCCAGAGCCCCTGCGAGGGCATTTCTTCGATAAGACCCAACAGGCCAATATCACGTATGATGCATTGAGTAGGGAAGTGGTCCTGTTCAAGGCAAAGTCCATGCCAGTTTCCACGTTCTGACATAAGGACTTTGATAAGGGAAAGAAGTGGAAGGGCCGTATCATCTCAGGGCAAGTCAGGGCCAAGGATCATTTGATCCTTAATTTGGATAAAGGTGGTACTGACGAAGTCCCCTACAGTCAAATAGAGTGGGGGCTAGAGGAGGAGGACAGCGGTATGGGCCAGGGGAGGACCTATGCTGTTGTCGCGGCTAGAGGGAGGCCGCAAGGTAGAGGAGGCCAAGGCCAAGGGGGCCGGGCCATGGGTGGTCGAGGTCCGGGTGCACAGGGGGGTGGCGGTCAAAGGAACAGTCAAGTGGGAGGTAGGGGTCAAGGTCCCCCGCCGAATCGCTCAGGACCTAGTCGATCGCTACAATGCAGAGGTGGAAGGTCACCTCAAAGGCAAGGAGATTGGCACCCAGGTTGGCCACAGGGCCGACCTTGGGAAGACTTGGGCTTGAACCAGCGTGTATGGCAGCAGCGTATGGAGCAGGGGCAATGCATCTACTACGGTGACCCTGCCCATATTATCAAATATTGTCCAAAGTATAGGGAAGCCCGATTTGCTGCCCAAGGGTCAAAAGGCAACCGCCAGTAGGGGTCACAACTGCCCCTACTACAACGCCATGTGGGAAAACGTGCGTGCACCACAAGGAAACTCCCACACCACATGAGCCTTCGACAGAGGTTGCAGGCTAGTGCCTAGCTAGCTGCCCAGAGACTACTTGTGTCACCGTCTCTCCAGGCACTTCCCTCACAGCTGTGGCAGAAGAGTTGAAGGAGAGGATGCCCGCCTGGGCCAAAATGAAGAAGGATAGTAAGGGACAACTAGTTTGAGTTGATGCAGAAGTTTTTAGAAGTAGAGTAGGAGCCCTTATAGATTCAGGGGCTACCTGTAGTTATATTAGCCGCATAGCGCTGAAGAAGCTAAGGCTAGGGTTGAAAGTCCAAAAGTTGGAAGACCCCATAGTTAGTGTCCTCGCAGACAACCGCACTATGCGTGTTCAGGACTACGTAGGGGAAGTCTAGGCGTACTTTAGCCTAGAGAAAGAAGGAAAAGTGGAGAAAGTTCTCCATTCCCTGACTCTCCTCGTACAGGATTACCTTCCTTTTGATATAGTCCTCGTTATGGATTGGGGAGAAGCAGCAGGGGTCACACTCCACTTGCGAGAGCATGAGTGTAGGCTCCCTAGTCCGACGGGAGAGGTTAAGACGACCTGTTTGTTTCATGTGTCCGGAGTAGATAACTCCTTGGCAAATTGTTGTCTCAGTGCTTCCACGTTCGCACAATTAGTGAGAAAGGAGCAGTTAGAGGAGCAGGTCTTCGTAGCCTATGTGAGGCCTGTTACTGAGCCTAAGGAAGACACACCCATAGACCCAGCTATTGCCAAGCTGCTGGAAGAGTTCAAAGATCTTGCAGAGCCGCCGTCTAGAGTAATGTCGCGGCCAATCCGACATCGTATAGAGATAGAGCCTGTCAGTAGGACTCGTAAGGGAACAGTCTACAGGATGTCCCCAAGGGAGTTAGAGGGGTTGCGTAAGCAATTAGACGAGTTCCTCGAGAAGGGGTGGATTAGGCCCAATTCATCTCCTTTTGGCGCACCGGGTTTGTTTGTTCACAAAAAGGAAGGAGAGTTACAGATGTGCATAGACTATAGGGGTCTAAATGCGATCACAGTGCATAGGATAGATGATCTTTTAAATTGGGTGCAGGGTTGTAGATATTTTTCGAAGATCGATCTGAAGTCCGGGTAGCATCAGATGGAGGTTCATCCTGATGACCAATACAAGACTGCGTTCCGGACTAGATATGGGCACTAGTGATGCCCTTTGGACTAACCAATGCGCCTGCCACGTTCCAACGCTGTATGAACGATTTGTTTAGGTCGTGGTTAGGTAGATTTGTTGTAGTTTACCTAGATGATATATTAGTATTAAGTAAGACCCTCCAAGAGCATCAGGGTCATTTGAGGCAGGTCTTGGAGAAGCTAAGAGAGGCTAACTTCAAGATCAATGCGAAGAAGTGCGAGTGGGCCAAGACACAAGTCTTGTACTTGGGCCACATCTTAGACGGAGACGACATTAAGCCTGAGGACAGTAAGATAACGGCGATTAGAGATTAGCCGACGCCCCACACGTTGACTGAGTTGCGGCCGTTCGTATAGGAAGTTCGTGACAAACTTCTCGACTATCGCCGCTCCCTTTTGGAGGTTGCTCAAGAAAGAGGCAATTTGGCAGTGGGACAAAGACTGTACGTCTGCGCTAAAGAAGTTAAAGCGCGCATTAATAGAGTATCCTATCCTCAAAGTAGCAGACTCGTCTTTGTCATTTGTCGTCACCACGAACGCGAGTCAGTATGGTATAGGCGTCGTGTTACAGCAAGACGACGGCAATGGCTATAGACCCGTAGAGTTCATGTCAGCGAGGATGCCCTCAGAGAAGGTAGCCACCTCGACTTACGAGAGAGAACTCTACGCTCTTAGGCAGGCCTTAGAGCACTGGAAGCATTACCTGCTTGGGAGGCACTTCAAGGTGTATTCAGACCACGAGACACTTAGATGGCCGAAGACACAGGCCAAAATGACACCTAAGTTGACTAGGTGGGCCGCCGAAATAGACCAGTATGACTTTGAGCTCAAGCCTGTTAAAGGCAAGTACAATGTAGTTGCAGACGCTCCAAGCAGGAGATCAGACTACTCTTGAGCCATAGTTCACTATCTGGATATAGGGAGTGACCTACAGGAGAAAGTTAGACAGGCATATGCGTATTTATAGTGACGTCCTCAAGAGAGTTAAGACGGCCCCAGAGACCAAACCACATTACCGCACTACAGAAGGGTTATTGTTCGAGAAGACCGACGTAGTAGACCGTCTGTGCGTTCCCAACAGTGAGGAGATCCATAGTTTGATCCTGGGGGAATGCCACGACACAGAGGGACATTTCGGTTGGCAAAATACTCTAGCCAATCTGATGCATGCGTACACTTGGCCAAGAATGAAAGTTGACTGCATAAAGTATGTCCGTAGTTGCAAAGTATGCCAGAGAACAAGAGTACTACGCGTGCCCCTCGAGGTCTTCTTAGACCCTTGACTATTCCTGATCAGCCAAGAGATTCAGTGTCCATTGACTTTATGGACGCTCGCGTCAAGAGTAGACATGGTAAGAGCCAAGTCATGGTCATAGTTTATAGATTCAGTAAGTATGTTGTTTTCGTTCCTTTGCCTGCAGAGGCACACACCGAGTTAGTAACTCAGAAGTTTTTTGACTATTGGATTAGTGATCATGGGATTCCATTAACTATAGTTAGCGATAGAGACACCCGATTCACTAACCAGAACTGACAGGAACTAATGAAAGTCTATGGATCAAGTTGTTGATGTCATCTGGACGCCATCCAGAAACAGATGAACAAGATCCTGCAGCAATTTTGGCTCATGTACATTAGACCAGATCAAGTCAATTGGGATGAGATGTTGCCCAAGGTAGCCAATGCGTATAACAACAACGTGCACTTGTCCACCTGTCCCACCGAGTTACACAAGTCCTTTAGACCGCGCAGACCGTTTGAGGGGCTTAATCGGGATCACATTCATAGACTACCGCCCGGTACTAGGGAGTTGGTGATACAGCACGAGAAAGAGCTAGCTACAGTCGTCGAGAACCTCAGGAAGGCCCAACATAAAATGATAGAGCAAGCCAACAAGCACCGTCGCCCATTGCAGTTCCAAGTAGGTGACTTAGTCTGGGTCAAGTCCAAAGAGTTTGCTCCTGAGGAAAACATCTCGCAGAAGTTACCGCCAACCTACAGGGGACCATGGCCAGTTTTAGAAGTCAAGGGCGGGGAGGATGGGCCGTCCTACACAGTAGAGATCCCAGCACACCTCCACACCTACCCGGTGTTTCATGCATCAAAGTTGTTGTCGTGTGTCACAAGACAACAATTTCCATCCAGAACGTCCATGATCCCTCCAGACATGGACGGAAGGTACGACATTGATGGCATTGTAGGTGAAGATGTGTTTAGAACAGGAGGTAGAGATCGTCCACAGAAACAATATAAGGTCCGGTTTGCTTATCAAGAACCAGAGGACGACCGCTGGTTTACTAGAACATAACTTCTAGAAACCGTTCCCGACATAGTTAGAGCCTACGAGAGAGATAGGAAAGATAAAGGTCCTGCCTTGGACTGAGTTATTCTTGGAGGACCTCGAATTTAGGTCGGCGGGAGTGAAACGATATTCACCTGTTCGCAGTAGCGGATGCAAGTCCTAGGGCTCGATCCCTAGACCATCACCTTACCTGTGTACAGTATCTGTGTCCACCCCGAGAGTTGAACCCACGACCTGTGTCTTTCCCCACGGTGGTAGGTTGTCATAGGTCTGTAGGGTACAGGGGTTCGATCTATAAAACTGTCGGATAGGAGTCTTATAACCCACGACCTGTGTCTTTCCCCACGGTGGTAGGTTGTCATAGGTCTGTAGGGTACAGGGGTTCGATCTATAAAACTGTCGGATAGGAGTCTTAGCAAGTTCTAGAAGTCGTAGTTGTAGCTCCTCCGAAGGGTCAAGGTCGTAGCTGCTACAGTCCTAAGGGGTCAAGGTCGTAGCTGCTACAGTCCTAAGGGGTCAAGGTCGTAGCTGCTACAGTGCCGAAAGGCCAAATCCACGGTCTTCCGGAAGGTCCGAAAGTGGCCTTCCGACGAACTGCCCACAGTAGACCAAGGCAAGTGGGCAAGTGGTGGAGTCTACCCGTGCGGAGTCAGCGGTACTCAGTCCCAGTCAGTCCTAGTCCAGTCAAGCAAGTACCGTATGGGACTGTGTGCACCACGGGCATGGGAAAGGGGCAGACCAACAAGCTACAGAAGAATAAATCAAGAGGCAGCACCCAACCATTCATTCATTCCTGTGTAAGCCATGCGGAAGCGCTGCCACAACGACTTGTGCGAGGTGGTCTGCAGTGAGCCCGAAGACGAAGAGGGCGGGAAGGAGAGCTTAGCCATAGCGATAGGAGTAGTGCAATAACCCATGCCATATGTCTCATGGAACTGAGGGCCATAAGAAGGGGTACTTGGCCGCCCTCAACACAAAACCGAATAAGGGCAGAAAAGGCCCTTCACGAATTCAGGGCC